TTCTTAGAGTCACATATTAAAAGGCTCAAAGCACCACCACACAATTATACAGGAAACAAACTTGGGAGGGTGAGTGGGAAATGAAACAGAGAGAGAAGAATTAGATTCACAATCATAAAAACAGAACTAGAAGAAAGTCACTTTGCCCATTGTTTCCAGAAGGAATAATACATAACCCAGATTGGATTAATGGCTGTTAAGGAAGAGCATGATTTCAAAACCTCCTTCACTTAACTTTTTCAAAATCTAACAACCCCCCAGCACAGACAATCCTTTTGTATCCCTAATTTAAATCCTGCCTGCTTGGCTCTGGTCCATTTCTGTCCTTTGTTAAAATAGAAAACAACTCAGCTCCCTCCACATAAAAATCTTTCAGAAACTTTAGTAAAAGAGGGGGAGGACTAGCTACCAAGAGCACACATAGTTGCTTCTTAAGGAAAACACAGTCTCAACCAAGATGAGAGGCAGGAACTGACAAATCTATAGGATCTGAACTTGAAAGGTATTTACAATGGATAACTTTGAGTTACACTTCACCAAGACTCAGAAGATCTGGCATAAAACTTCAAATCACTCTTTTCCAATTTACTTCACTGCAGATTCTCCTTCCTTTGAAAAACCTTAATAAAAATCCTAGTTTTCATCTACTCTCTCTGTGGTAACTTAAATCTTCACCTCTACTGGCTCTCTCACTTCAGCTTTTAACCATATATATTTTTTAATTTTATTTATTTTTATTTTTTTGAGACAGAGTCTCGCTTTGTTGCCCAGGCTAGAGTGAGTGCCATGGCATCAGCCTAGCTCACAGCAACCTCAAACTCCTGGGTTCAAGCAATCCTACTGCCTCAGCCTCTCGAGTGGCTGGGACTATAGGCATGCACCACCATGTCCGGCTGATTTTTTCTATATATATTATTTGGCCAATTAATTTCTTTCTATTTATAGTAGAGACGGGGTCTCACTCTTGCTCAGGCTGGTTTCAAACTCTTGACCTTGAGCAATCCGCCCGCCTTGGCCTCCCAGAGAGCTAGGATTATAGGCGTGAGCCCCCAGGACGGCCAGAAGGCTACTTTAGATAGAAGAAATAGTATAATTTAAAGCAGGAGGCCATCTGATGTAAGAACTGTATAAAGGCCTCTGACACTTCCTTTTTGCCCACCAAAAGAGGCATGTGTCCTTTTGTCTTCAAATTTTATTTTAGAATTAGCCATCCATGAATCACAAGCTTTTTGACTCTTACCATGATTACTCACAGTCACCACATATTAGGGCAACTCACAGAATCTAATACACTAGGTCCTATGTGGGTTACACCAAGGCAAGCTTTTAGAATAATCTTAGGTACAGAGTCTTTACTAAGGAGTGTGGGGAGTTAGGCCTCTCTAGGGTCCTAGGTACACACAGACAGCTACTACTCTTGGGTGCTAAAGATATGCACCAGTTCTCTTGCTCTGTCAGACCATTCAAGGGTCATTCAACTTCAGCTAAGTTACAATAAAGCCATTTAAAGCAGTCTGAAGCTCTGAATTCCTGTATGAAACAGGGATGTTTAATGGTGATGTCAGGGATGCCTTTTTTTTTGAGACAGAGTCTTGTTCTGTTACCTTGGGTAGATTGCAGTGGTGTCATCATAGCTCACTGCAACCTCAAACTCCTGGGCTCAGGCAATCCCCCTCCCTCCTGAGTAGCTGGATCTATAGGTAAGCACCACCACACTTGGCTTATTTTTTCTATTTCTAGTAGAGATGGGGGTCTCACTATTGCTCAGTCTAGGCTTGAACCCCTGATCTCAAGCAATCCACCTGCCTTGGCCTCCCAGAGTGCTAGGATTACAGGCATGAGCTATGGTACCTGGCCAACAGGGATGCCCTTTTCCCCACTGTTTTCCTGGAAAGCTCTTCTCTTGCCTCAGGAATCAACAGTTCAAGTATCTCTTCCTCTGTGAAGTCTTTCCTAATTCCCCTGAACTGACTTAGGTAACCTCCCTGTGATTCCATTAACAACTTGTGCATACTTCTAGAACAGCATTTACCACACCATGTTGTAATTATTTGTTTACATGTCAGACTAGCCACAAACTCTTTGATGCCAAAGATAATGTTTTATTCATCCCTAATTCCATACCTAATAGGCACTCAATATACTTGTTGAATATATTAATGACAAATGACATGGGAAGTCTTAAAGAATGGTGACTGTACCTTCTGGATTCCAGATCAAAATTACAGTAAGTATTAACACAGAACATTAAACTCCTATTATATATTTCTACTACATATACCATTCCTGACCAGAATAAGAGGCCAAAGATATGAGAAAATTGCTGTAATAGTGCTCGTCATTGCTAAGTTACCAGCCAAGAATATGAGCCCTTGCAGTACTAAGAATGAGCAAATAGGCCGGACACCGCAGTGGCTCACGCCTATAATCCTAGCACTCTGGGAGGCCGAGGCGGGCAAATCGCTCAAAGTCAGGAGTTTGAAATCAGCCTGAGCAAGAGTGAGACCCTGTCTCTACTGAAAAATAAAAAGAAATTAATTGGCCAACTAAAATATATAGAAAAAATTATCCAGGCATGGTGACACATGCCTTTAGTCTCAGCTACTAGGGAGGCTGAGGCAGGAGTGCTTGAGCCCAGGAGTTTGAGGTTGCCGTGAGCTTGGCTGACGCCATAGCATTCTAGCACAGGCAACAGAGTGAAACTGTCTCAAAAAAAAAAAAAAAGAATGAGCAAACAGTCATATCTACAACAATTTTTAAGTTTCACGCTTATTCTCCTGCCTCAGAAGAACAGAACCAATAACTAATATGAGTCCTTGGAAGGGTCACTATCTCCACTGCCACAAAACCTGTGGCAAACTGTGATTCAATACAACCTCTGCTGAAATATACAGGAAAGCTGTTCACTTTCTTCACCAAATCCAATTAAGGTTCTGCTAAGGGATAGGGATCTGAACTAAGTCCTCCCAGAACCCTGCCATGTTGTACACTAGCATTCTAAATCATTCCTCACAGGCTTTACTCATCTCTGAAGAGATACAGGCAAGGCAATAAAATGCTGCTGTCTCAAATGCCTCTCCCTGTAGGAATCCTGTACCACAAGCCTATTGTGTTTACGGGCTGCTAATAAGACATAAAATCTAATGTGATCCTGTGAGAACATGGCCCTGGATGGCTCAAGGAATTAAACAAATGTAGCCTACTTCTGTACTCCCAAAGTGATGGGGCTCAACAAAGTTGAATAAAGCATAAGGGCCAAACCCAGATAAGTGAAGGGATGGAAAGGGACTTTTCCTCTGAGGAACATCTGCAGTCAGGTAGGATGTGGCTCTTGGCACACAGTGAATGAGATAAGCAATGTTCAAGGGCAAACCAGGAGAACTGCTTGCTGGCAGATATCTGGCTCCTTGCATGTTATCATTCCTAAGAAGCCAAGAAGCTCCAGTTAAATTAATTTAGGTCTCTTGAAGAGACAAATAAATTTGTTTCCACCCCAGGCAAGAGGAATTATCAAGCCAACTCCTCAGACTACGTGTTTTAGCATATTTCTTTCTGCTACTACAGTCTTACACAACACCAGCTGTTAGATTAACACCTGCAGCTACATTAGTCACAGCTTAGCTCTTCACACGGTATGTGATCCAAGTATCCTCTTCCATGAAGGGAAACTGAGTCATGGCATATCAACTGGCTTCCCAAGCACATGCTTAGTGTGTAGTGAGGCCACACTTGAATCCATGTTGCCATCCTCCTATTTAGTTCTTCTCATGGATGAATCTCAGCATGCCCCCTGCTGCTGCTCTTTTTCCTTCAACGTAAAACCAAATCAATGCCCGCTTAATGGGCAGAAATGAGCAAGCACGTTTGATTCTTTAGAGCCACAAGGAGCTTCTAGTTGTCTTCTTTCCCAAGAAAGAGTAAGGTTTAAAGAGGAGCAGGAGAAGGTAGGGTTGGAAAGCGGTGGCTCCTAATACTAGGACTCACCTTGGAGCTGAGGTCCTCACGTCGGTTTCCTGCCTTACTCCTGCGTAATTTGATGGATGGAGATCGCAGCAGATTCTTGATCCGGGTGGTAATTGTTGACCCTTCTACAGCCATCATGATGAGGAGCCACTTGGGACAGTCCCAGGCCCAGGCCGGAGACTTGTCTCAACAACAGCACTGCCTTCCCACTCCACAGGGCCTTCCAATATGCCCTCTCACTGACCTGAGATGGCAGAGGCCACCTTAGCATCACAGTAGGTGTCTTACCTTCCGCCTAGCTAAGTCTGCAGCTTTTACGTCTAGCTAGGTATTGCCTTCTCCTTTTCTCTCATCCCTACCTTCAAGCCCAGGGCGGTTTCTCACAACGTTGGAAGGACAGACTCATGTAAAAGAGGGGGGAAATCATAAGCTGCAAAAAAAAAAAATGTCAGGCCCACGCCTGTCAGAGGCGCTTAACGAGAGAGAAGGGATGGGGTGGGCTGTAAAAGGGAAAGAGGTCGGTCTGGTCCCCGTTAATTCCCAACTATTCCCATGACAACTGCGGTGGCCAAGGTAGGAGGCCACCGAGACCACCGGGGAGTTCCGCTGGGCGCCTGAGCACCTGCGCTGGCGGCTGCGGGGACTCGTCGCGGAGGGGCTAGATGTGGCCCAGCAACTCGATGCCACCGGAGCCTCCCTCCCCCACCCTTACACCCTACGGAAGCTCTCTCTCGCACCGGCCCTGAATCTTTCTCTTTCACCCGCCTCAGAAACCCCTGCTACTCGTCAGCGCCCCCGCTCGGGCCCAGCCTCACCAGCCCCGGGGCGTGAGGGGCACTCGGCTGACAGCGCCCTCAGGCATCCCGCTCGGCGATTTTCGCTCCGCCGCGGCAGCGGCACAGGCAGCTATGGTGGCACGAGCGGTTCAAAACGCGAACTACCGCCTGGGCCAAGCTACGGGCTGGGTAGGCGGAGCCGACGTGAGGGGGCGTGGCCTTCAGCCAAGAGGGCGTTTCCACAGTGGACGAGCACGGTTTACGGGGGCGGAGCCAATGAAAGGGCCTAGGAAGCAGAGGACTTGGCCTCAAGAACCTCGTTTTCCGCACAGTGTGGGTACTGGCCTTAGAGGAAGGTCAATAGAACATGGCTTCAGAATTGAGAGAACCAAGCCTTTTATGGTATTATCGGGCCTAGTCCCCCAGAAAACCTGAAGACGGTAACCACGCCCCCAAGGTGCTAAGGTTGGCATTTCATAGGTCGGAGGGACCATAGCTGAAACTAACTCCTAGCTCAGAATTACAAGACTGAGGTACAGCCAAGAAGCTCTGCACTCACCGACACCAAGCGCTGGGATTTAGAACATTTGAAATAGTTTCTGATAGCGGCAAGCCCAGCGCGATGACACACATGAAAAGGATTTTCTGAGTAACCCAATTCAATCGTTAAGAACAGTTTTGAACTGGGCAACCTGATTGGTCATGATGAAAGGGGAGCCAGAGGGCGGCCTTGAGTAGACTTTAGGCGTGATTGCAAGAGGGAAGACTAGTGAATGCGCTGTGGACTATACTGTATTTGTTTCATGGTTTCTTTAGCCTCCAACGTCCCATCGCGATCTCTCACCCAAAGTTAACTAGGATTTTGTTGCTTCAGATCTTTTTCTTGTTCCTGTCAAAATTTACTTGTGAATCCTTCTCCCTAGAACTGTTACTTGCCGAAGTCACTGTCAAGCTTGCTGACACCAGATCGAGTGGTATCGTTTCTCTAGCTAATGAGGGTAAGGGGAAATACGCAGAAATATCATTATTTATATTTCATAGATGTTTAAGCCTGAGATTATATTTTCTAGGAGCCCCAAGATTTTCTACCCGGCTACTATTACAAAAAATTACCTTATGACAAACTTAGCCTAAGCCTAGACTTGGGCCCCAAAGTGTAGTACACTGATGTGCCTGTCTCACCCTAACCCAATCTTTGAAACCCCCATGGGGTGACAAGTTAGCAAAAGGGAAGAACCACTAAACTCACTTCTGTGGGTGGGCCTTGTATAGCCAAGTGGCAAAACACGTGTGTGCTCGTGTGTACCGTAGCCACATACTGAGATTTGTAAAGCTCGTAAGTTTACATGAGATCAGGGATGTCACCTCCTAGAAGATCCACTGGCAATAGATACCAGCTAAATGGCCTTCTTCCCTTCGCCCATGCACTGATGTAATGAAACATAACATGGGACTTTCAAATTTCCCAAATCTGGAGGAAGAAGGCAAGAGCCATTTAGCTGCAACAGCATGAAAGAGGCAGGTGGTTTCCTTCAATCCCTAGTCTAAAAAAGGTAGTATAACACTGGTGCCACCTGGTGTCTTTATTTGTGTGCTGCAGACCCCAGCATATCCACCTATAAAGCGAGACTGTGTCCACAAACGTCCCTAATCTTCTCCAGATCATTTTTGTGTCAACTAGCACTTCTCACTTCCCTAACCACTTATGGCCAGGTAAATGGGTTTAAAAGTGTCATTGGTCATTTCTTGTCCAAAGCTACCCAGCTTTATCCCCCTAGAGAAAATCTTCCCTCCATTACCCTCATCTGAAGAGGAAGCTGGAAAAGCAAATCCAAGTTCCTGCTTTCCTTGTCTAAAATGAACTACATGGAAAAACAACTAAGGACAGTGTAATGAGGGGAATTTCTTAAGTCTGGAATTTGGATACTTCTAGCCTAAAGTCAAAGCCATGAATTTTTAATTCTTCCCAACTCAGTCCAATCTTTATTGTCTAGGTACTATGCTGTCTTTGAGATACCAGTATGGGAATAGGTTGTAGGCTGTGTTCCCATTCTTCATGAATTAGTTCTCAGAAAATAAGTCTCAGGTCTAATGTAAATAGAAGTGTTAACTTTTCTCCACAAAAATTAGTCATGCACCACATAACGACATTTCAATGACAGACTGAATGGTCCCATGAGAGTATACCATTATTTTTACTGTACCTTTTCTATGTTTAGGTAAACTTCAATACACAAATACTTATTATTGTGTTCCCATTGCCTACAGTATGCAGTAAGGGTTAGTAGCCTAGACGCAGCAGGCTATACCATATAACCTAGGTGTGTAGTAAGTAGGTTTTACCATGTAGGTTTGTGTAAGTACAGTACATTCATGTCTGTACAACAAAATGGCCTAAAGAAGCATTTCTCAGAACATATCCCTGGTCAAGCAACATGACCATACTTGCCATCTCACCCTCTAAAATCCAGCTGACTCAAGTATTTCATCATCCATATGCTATTTTATTTTATTCTGCTTATATAAGTCTTAAATATCTATACATGGTGTTTGTCAGATTTTGAAATTCTAGATATCTGGGAATAAATCTTGAACAGTTGTCTGTTCAGCACTACACTCACTAGATCAAATTTTTAAATTCATCCTAGGATTATTGCAAATAAGGTCCAATCTAAGATCCTGGAAAACTAAGTCTAAACATTTGCTCATCAATTCAAATATTAATTGAGCAACTTTACATGCAAGGCACTGTAAAACAGCTGAGACCAATGATTGCAGTTGGAAACAGGATGAATCTCTAAACAATGCTTCCAAGACTGTTTTCCTATCTCATTTACCAGCAGGGTTTAAAATGAAAGAATTTGTAGAATTTAGATTTGTCTCAAAATTTCCAACTCCTCTCATGGTTTAGCCTTCCTGTCCTCCTCACACACCTCCTTCACTGTTAATCAACACTTATGTTCCTTTGTAGAGCAGTTATGTTTATTACAGTTATGCCTCAGTTAAAATGTCATATATATCAAATTATTTTCCTCTATTTCAAAAATGCATTTTAACTTGATTTTTTTCCCTCCAACTGGCAATGAGTCTGAATACCTCAGCTTTAATTTTCTCTGCATTCAACCATAAATGTCCATGTGAAATTTCACTAGTGATAATACAATGACATGTTAGTATTGATGCCCTAACAGAACTTTCTTCAAAACAAACACTTGTGTGCAAGAAATGTGTTCTGATTCTTGGTTATCAGTCATTCTCTATAAAAGTACCTGAAAATGTACTTGTTACACACTGTTGCATGGCTTTTTAAATTGTTTTAATTCTGGGAGTGAGGGACAAGGGCTATCAATATTTTCTAGACCTGTCTTCAAAGTGTATTTACCTCTCAGTTTGCCTTACCCCATTCCATTTCAAATAGCTCAACCAGTATAGTTAGGGAAAAATACTACTAAACTCTACCGAAAATAATACATGGATTGTCTGCCATTCTTCTGTGTTCAAAACATGTTCAAATTTGTTATATAAAGGCCTAGCATATTTCATCCACAATTTGGGGGGGGGTACTGCACTTACTATAAAACATATAAAGTGAATAATTTATATGAAGCTTACATAACTGAACTTGATCTGTTAGTGACCTTAAGTAGATTAAGAGTAGCTCAATGTCTAAAGAACTCCTTTAAACTTTTTTATAAATTATGATACTAAACATATATCTTACGTTAACAATACCTATTGTCCTTAGCCACTAAGATTATGTTTATATCCCATTACTCCCCCAGATGACAGGTAAACTGCCTTGTACACACTGGTACCATGAGGCTATCTTTCTTCACTGTAGAATGACTTTTAAGATAAATATTTGCAATCAAGTTGTACAAATGTTGAAACCTCCATGTAAAACATACTATAAAGATTAGAACACCAATACCACCAACCCCAAATTGGCATGTCAGAAAATTTGAGAAAAGGAAGGAATTCCTATGATAAAACTACTTCAGTGGCACATCTCTCATGTGTCTCAGGGAATTAGAATTATCTACCCCAACTTGGCATAAACCTGCCAACACCAAGTACTGCTTTAATTGTTACAACTGATTTATTCCAGGTTTATACATTCTGCCTTCCCATCACCAAACTCCTTCGGTTCTTAGGTTTCTAAAAAAAATAGTCACTTTTCAAAAGCAGAAAAGGAAAGATATATATTTAATATATAAAAGAAAATGCTAAATCTGACATAATTATATTCTTAAAAACATTCCATTTATTTACAGATGTTATAAAAAGGCGAATTATTGGTCTACTGAGATCATGCTTCTTATAGAGTTAGGTTGAGAGCTCACTGTCTTCCAGGTTCCTCAACTCCTCTCACTCTTCATCTTTCATAATCACTCATGTAATTTTCATAATTAGTTTCTCCTGGGGTAAGGTTAAAGGGTAGGAGTTTTTGGAAATTTAGATTTTTGTCAAGACTGCAGGATTGTTTTGAAGACGGAACCCTCCCCAAATTAGCTCTGAGGACACTTAGTTCTAAGAGGTCTTGAGAACACTATCTTTTGGGTTTGTAGTAACATCTGCAGCCTTCCCCATAAACACCTGGCATCATCCTTCACTTCCATCTTTATATATCTCTCATAAACAGAGTTAAATATCCTCCAATCAAGAATTATTACCTGTTTGCCTATTTCCTTCTAAAAAAAAAAAAAAAGGAAGTGTTCAGAAGCTAAAATGGTCCTTCTTTTCCTGAGGATTATTCACTCACTTGCCTGCTCCTTGGCTGACCCTCAACAGCCACAAGAGGCTTGGGAAGTCAGGAGGAAATGTAGGGAAAAGACAAGCAAGGAAATAATGGGAAACTGCCATACCTGGGTTAAAGTACTAGCATCTCTAAGAACAATTACTAGCAGGGGAGACAGGTGCTGGACTCCTTGGCTAAGGCATTGAATGAAATCTGCTGGGTAGAGTGGAAGGGACAAGAAGCTGAGTAGCATTCTTTACCTACTTCAAGCTTCTTCAGTAACCTTTAGGGGAGGGAAGGTTAAGTGCTGATGAGCAGGTCTAGGAAAGCAAGCAGCACAAAACCAACAAGAACTTGATCATACTGCAAATTTGCAGAGAAAGTTTTCTACCCTTTTCAATCTGTTGATTACCAGAGTTAATAGGGAACCAACTATGGAAGTAGTAATTCACTGGCTATTATCCATTCCAAAGTTGGTTTCACAACCTAGGTCTGACTATATGCAGAGTGGGATTTGGGATAAAGAAGGCAGGGGATGTAGAAGAAATAACATCAACCTAGGCACAGCCCAGGCACTGGAAGCTCTTGTGTTAGTGTTTTACAACACAAGTATATCCTGTCAATGAAGACAGAACAGGGGTTACATTCCAAAATATAATTATTTAAGAAAGGCAAAATGCAGCAGCTAAATCCCAGTCTATACAGTTTCAGAATAGTGATTCTTGCCCCCAGGAGTTTCCAAGAGACCCCTCAAGTGCACCATGATTATTTACAAACTAGATAGGAAACATCATTTCTATACTCAATACAAATCTCATCTTCTAGGTTGAAAACTTCAGCCTTTGAGAAATCTATGAAAACAACTATACAAAAATATAAATATCTTTATCTTTACAGACTGTCAGTCCTTCATACTCTGACAGCTAACAAGTGAAAAAGCTCTACAGATCATTGAATCCATGGTAGCAGATAAAAAATATATCTTGTGATTCAAATACTGCCTCATTTCCCTGGTAAAGAGTGCCTACTGTGACTTTTCTTTACATCCTCTGCAGGTAATATTGAATGAAACCTTCAAGCACCAGGAAGCTGGTTTGATTTGGGAAATATCCAGCCCCACAATTTTGGATTTTGGCCACTATCTCTGGCATGGGGAGAAAATGCATTTCACTTTAGCTGTTTCTTGAATGATGTGATTTGTGAAAGGGGTAAGGCTCCCTCCATGTTACTTCCAAAATACATATTCCTAGTAGAAATCCCTGGCACTGTGAAATGAGCTTTTCAACACCCACCCACCCAATAAGGGAGAACTAGAACTACTATTTTCTGTAACATCTCAAAATAATTACCTTAATAATAAAAGTTAAACGCATCCTACGTTACCAGAAGGCTTGAATTTGTAATTCTAATTGAAAAAGTGAGGGAATGGAAGCTACTTGGTATATGAAAGAGAAAATTCTCCCAAATGACACAAAGTCCTTCACTTTGGTATTCCATGGTACCCATCCTCTCTCTCCCTATTCTTGAAACATCAATTAAAACTTCTCTTTTCTGGATCCCTTTGTACAAGTGCATCACATTCCTTAGATTTCAGACTTAATCCAACAGCTATCAGCTACCTTCAGTCCATAGCAACTCCAAAGTTGCAAGCAGCCTGTTCTCTCGAGGGGAAGAACTAGGAACCACTATGGAACCACAGTCTTGTTATGAATTCCTTGGGTAAGAGGGGCACCTCGTGTTTAGTAATGGATCACATCTTCTTAGAAAGGATGAGGGGACCCAGCACCACAAGTGAGGTAACACATTTTAACATGATCAGAATTTCATAGTATTTCTTATACCAGGGTCAGCACCCTACCCCCTTTCTCTATTATCCACCTCATCAACAAAGTCAAGGACCAAAGTTCCAAGACACAAATAAAGAGATGCCTGCAGAGAAAGGAGGTGAGATTCAATTTTCCCTCATAGCCTGGCTTCTGCCTAAGGACAAATGAATTCATTTCCCTGCAGAACTTGGTGAGACCCCAGAGTTGCCCAATTTAGCCAAAACAGGTGCCAATGTAGGCATCACCTTGCTCTCCCGGCCTTCCTGGTCACTCCCTGTTAAGTTCATTTTGTGTCCAACTGACCCAACTTTGGCAGCTATAGGTGCCAAACAAGGCATCACCTTGAGACTCTGACCATCTGCATCATTGCAAGGATTAGCTACTTTTAAACCTAGAGGTGCCAACTTTGGCATAGGCCTCCACAAAGTATCCGTGCTGCTGCTATTCTCCAGGCCAGTCCTCATGTGTAGGAGGGGGGGTGAGGACACACTTTCAGGCTCTGCAGGGAGGTCAGAAGTACTCTTCCCTCCATCACTAGTTTTCCTGTGGGAAATAAGGGAATCCTTTATCTCAGAGTCAATAACAATCTTAAGTACATCTGGCTCAGAGGCTGGTTCTGCAAGTTGTTTTTCATTCTCAGAAAAGTCATCATCTTCTAAGTGCAAAAGGAGGGGACTAGTAGAGTCACTCTCCCCTTGAACATCAGGCAACTCTTTCAAACCAGTTCCCAAGTGGCCAACCTGGAAAGTTGCACTGTTCCCAGAGGGAAGCTTACTGATAAAACCCCGTCGAGCATCCCCTGGGAACTCTGTATCCACAGTGCTCGGCAGTTCAGCAAGGCTAACAGTGTCATCATTTAGTTGTTGATTAAGAAAGGCAATCTCATTAAGCAGAGAAGTCAGTGTCTCATCCGTATCATCCTCGTCTTCCATGTTAGTTAGCAGTTCACTGGAATCAAGTGCTGCTTCCTCTATAGCTGATGTTACTTTCCTCAGTTCCATCTCTATGCTTGAGTCCTTCAGATCTTTCATTTTTAATTTATGAAATGAAGATTGCTTTGACTTCAGTCTCTCCCCTCTTGATTCATTCTCTTTCCATTTATACTGAATCCCTCTGATATCACCAGAAATCTTTTTAGGTAAGAACTCCTGTGCTTCCTGCATACTGGAAACATCAACTATTTGTGGAAAACCAGAATCTTTATTTGCCAGAAAAACCTGCGTTGGACCCAATGTCATTCTGCCATCTCTATGGTTTCCTCTGGAAGAGATTCTACCCGAATCCTCTAAGGAGTTATCTTTATTCCTGATGGTATCTGTCAGGTGGTCAGGTGGCTTGCCATCAGGAACCTCATGAGGATATTTACTGCCACCCATATCTACCAAACTTCCGTCTGTGGCCAGTGATGTCACATTAACAATTCGTGGCATCATAAATAAGTCATCATTTTCTGAAAAATAAAAGCAAAAAGAAAAGAAAAATTCGTTTAGATCTACAGTGTTAAACATCTCCTTCTCTCTCAATCATATCAAATGACCATCTTAGAGTGCAGTCAAAATTCACCAGTCTACTTTTAACAAGAAGATAAAAAAAATCAGTTCTTCAAAGTATAGATTTAACCTAAGAAGAAAATCGTCACATAAAATCCAACCAAAAGACTCTTGGATAGTCCATCATTAAGAAAAGTTCCATTTAGGCCGGGCATGGTGGCTCACGACTATAATCCTAGCACTCTGGGAGACCAAGGTGGGAGGACTGCTTGAGCTCAGGAGTTTAAGACCAGCCTGAGGAAGAGTGAGACCCCATTTCTACTATAAATAGAAATAAATTAGCCAGACAACTAAAAATAGAAAAAAAAAATTAGCTGGGCATGGTGGCGTGTGCCTGTAGTCCCAGCTACCCAGGAAACTGAGGCAGGAGGATTGCTTGAGCCCAGGAGTTTGAGGTTGCTATGAGCGAGGCTGAGGCCATGGCACTCTAGCCCAGGCAAGAGAGTGAGACTCTGTCTCAAAAAAAAAAGAGAGAAAAGTTTCATTTAATTATTTTATAAAAATGCTTCCCAAATTAATTCTTATCCTGGGGCAGAAACGTATCTTGATTCTGTTCATCCAATTAACTGCTATTTTGAGGGGAAAATGAAGCCCTACAGGCAAAATGGTAAGAGAAAGGGATGAGTCCTTCAGAGTGGGTTTGGCAACAGACAGAGACAAGAACTATTGGCTGGCAAGGGCAACGAAGTAACTAGGATTTTAATATTGGTAAGGACACCCTTTTATTACCTTAATAGAAATTTAGTTGCTTGAAACCTAATCATCAAAGTGATATTTCCTTTTCAACTTTACCCCAAAAGGGAATGGTGCTCAAACTGAATCAGACTAGTAATGCAGGATTGTATCATCTCTGGGCACAACATAAAATTGACAAATAATTATCAACACCAAAACTAAGACAATGACCCTTCAGTATCTTCTTTTCACACTTTGATATCTTTGCAATTCTTCTACTTAGAAATAACTAGGGTTCACAAAATAGCTTCCAACCCAGTGATTGGTAAAACACACCAATCAATATCACAGTTCAAGCCAAACTTATTCTAAAAAGAGTGTCTCTTTTACCAAGACAAATGCCAATAGAACAGACCTTTATTTCTTTATTTATTTGTATTTATTTATTTATTTATTTTTAAGACAGTCTCACTTTGTTGCCCTGGCTAGAGTGCCATGGCATCAGCAACCCCAAACTCCTGGGCTCAAGCAATCCTTCTGCCTCAATCTCCTGAGTAGCTGGGACTACAGGCATGTGCCACCATGCCTGAATAATTTTTTCTGTATATTTTTAGCTGCTCAATTAACTTCTTTCAATTTTTGGTAGAGATGGGGTCTCGCTCTTGCTCAGCCTGATCTCGAACTCCTGAGCTCAAATGATCTACCCATCTTGGCCTCCCAGAGTGCTAGGATTACAAGGCATGAGCCACCGCGCCCAGCCCCAGACCTTTATTATTACAGAATATATCCAAAGGCTTCCTGTCACTGTGAGATAGCAGGGATACCTTTTTCACTACCCCTATACGACAACAATTAAGACATACCTGATTGAGGCATAGCACTGCTGCCAACTTGAGGCTTAAGATCAGCTTCTAAGAGACCAGGAGAAACAGTTACTACTGGTCCTGAGAATAGGGGACCTTTCAAAGTGAGCAGTTGCCCTTGTGGAGTCATCACAAGGTTTGCAGAGGTGTGTGGAGTATTCGAGGGTGAGGTATTTTCTGTAAGGAAAACCAAAAATTAATTATGGATAAAAAAGACTTTCAATTAATGCTAGTGTAGCCCACAAGTCTAGGAGATATCCTTAAAACCACACTGACTTAAAAGGTAAGAAATAAATTTCAAATTTAGTTAGGGAGACCGGGTATGGCAGGTCATATCTGTAATCCTAGCACTTTGGGAGGCCAAGGTGAGAGGACTGCTTGAGGCCAGGAGTTAGAGACCATAGAGACCAGTCTAAGCAACAAGGTAAGACCCAATCTCTACCAAAAATAGAAATATTAGCTGGGCATGGTGATATGCGCCTGTAGTCCAAGCTGCTGGGGAGGCTGAGGCAAGAGGATCACCTGACCCCAGGAGTTTGAGGATGCAGTGAGCTATGATGACACCACTGGGCCCTAGCCTGGGCCACAGAGCAAGACCCTGTCTCAAAAATCAAATTTAGTTAGGGGAAAACAACTTGGAATTTATTTTCTTAAACTACTTTTTTTCTTAAACTACTTATTTTCTTAAACTACTTTTCAATGAGTAATGGTTACCTGTCCACTGATTCTCCTAAGGAAGAGAATTTCTTATTTGTTGAGGAATAGAGTTGTGGAACCACATCTTCAATGGAATGGCTTCTGATAGTCTTTTTTATTTTTCAGATGCATTCTCTTATTTATGCTTCTGATAGTCTTACTAGTGTGTCAAGATGAAAGTATACATGATTCTATCCCTAGGCTTCATTTCCTATATATACTTCTAACAAACTTAGGTTTCTAGGCCTCAGTTTTCCCATCTGAAAAATGAGGTGACAGGACCAAATAATCATTAAATTCCTTTCTTAGAAGTAATACAATTTTATCCTGCAATGTTAGAAAAACTAATTAATTCATGTTTTAGTATCCATCACTAACTTCTTAGTTTGATGTAATAAACCAGCACCTTCTGGTTCAGACACTGAGCTACCCAAAGAGTAAAAAAGGATATATTATTCTCTAAAGGATATAAGCAAATAATATAAAATCACTTTTGCCTCACTTCTAAAATCAAAGTAAATTGGTTTTAAATTCTTTATGTCTTGAGAAAGAAGACATGAGAAAGAATTTAAAACCAATTTAGTTTATTCTTTAATAATGCATTAATAGGTGATCTGATAAAAAACAGAGTCCGATTCAACAAAATTAAAAAAAAAAATGTTTTTTCTAGCCAGACACACTATGACTCATGCCTGTAATCCCAGAACACTGGGAAGTTGAGGCAGGAGGATCACTTCAGGCCAGGAGCTCGAGATCAGCCTGAGCAAGAGTGAGACCCCATCTGTACAAAAAAAAAAAAAAATTAGCTGGGCATAGTGGTACACCCTTGTAGTCCCAGCTACTCAGGAAGCTGAGGCAAAAGAATCATTGAGCCCAGGAGATTGAGGTTACAGTGAGCTATGATGATGCCACTGCAGTCTAGCCCAAACGACAGAGGGAGACTTCTGTCTCCACAAAGAAAAAAATATCCAGTTGGTCTCCTCAGATAGACCCAAACTTACTCAACCCATCAGCAGAGCTGCAGGGAAACCATGAGTTCACATATAAAGTTTGAGGAGATGATAGCTTTAAAAATTACTCACTAAAAACACATGACTGTAGACTGCTATCAGAATTATGATTTATATGTTACCATGACTGGTAAAATCTCAGAATTTGCTTCAGTGTGTAAAGCCAGAAACCGAAATCTAATGTAGTTAATAGTCTACTTTTTATACAACTCATCTTTAATTAATTAAAACTAAAACTATCGCCAGAAGATGTTTAGTCCACTAAGGAAAGCAAACAATGTCCCTCCTACCTGTGGCCTGGTCTCTTTTTCTGGAAAGAATCAAAGGTTTGCCCCTCCTGTTATTTATAAACATCTGTCCAACATCGACAGATGATGCAGAAGATCCTTCCTGCTGTTTGCTACTTCTGTGAGACACATCAAACTCATCTGATCCCATCTTCTTTTTTCTTTTTTGTGCCTCTAGTGCTTGTTGCTTTGCATAAATATACTCTAGCTTCTTCAGGACCACTTCCTCTGTCTTACCTGCAGGTTGACAGGGAATAAATTATCACTCTCTGCAAGACCCCACATAATAATGAGAAAGAGTCAACTGATATCCAGTTGATTTAACTATATTCCTCAAAAGTATGGAAGGCAAAAGTGATTACAATCCAGAAGAAATGCCCCCACCCCCCAGTCAAAAGATAATTCTGAACACTTTGGGAGCCAAGCCTTAAACTAAGTAGTATCTAAAAGGTCTTCTAAGGATTTCTCCTCACTAAAGCTATTATTAAGCTCTTCCTAGCATGTTGGAAAGCTGACATGGGAGGAGAATCACTTGAGGTCAGGAGTTCAAGACCAGCCTGAGCAAGAGCGAGACTCTGTCTCTACTAAAAGTAGAAAAAGTAAGCCAGGCATGGTGGTGCACGCCTGTAGTCCCAGCTATGTTTGAGGCTGAGGTAGGAGGATCACTTAAGCCCAGAAGTTTGAGGCTGCTGAAAGCTAGGCTGACACGACAGCACTAGCCCAGACAACAGAATGAGGCTCTGTCTCATAAACAAACAAACAAATAACAGAGTGAGGCTCTGTCTCAAAAATAAATAGATAAGTAAAGCAAGCTATTATTATGCTCTTCACCAGAGATCATATACATATCTCACCTGAGAGAGATGATACTTTCCGTATCAGAATATTTCGTTTTCGAGTCAGGAGATTTTTCTGTCCTATCAATTTGTCTGCCTGATCTGTTAGTCCCTGGATTTCACTGAATGCCTAGAATAGAAACAGTAATATTATTTTCAATCAATCCACTCTTTCCTATATATAAACAGGTAGAGTCTACACAATTTCTTTAATGAAAAAAAATATTTTAGGAAAACTTTTCAATGCTATTTAAAACACTACCAAGTTTTTTGTTAAACTGCAAGAGGTTTTCTGGCTTTTACTTTAGGGAATATAGATCATGATTATTTCTAAAGAATAGCATGGAGGCTGGGTGAGGTGGCTCATGCCTATAATCCTAACACTCTGGGAGGCCAAGGTGGGCAGATCGCTCAAGGTTAGGAGCTCAAAACCAGCCTGAGCAAGAGTGAGACCCTGTCTCTACTAAAAATAGAAAGAAATTAATTGGCCAACTAAAAAATATATATAGAAAAAATTAGCTGGGCATGGTGGTGCATGCCCGTAGTCCCAGCTACTCGGGAAGCTGAGGCAGAAGGGTTGCTTGAGCCCAGGAGTTTGAGGTTGCTGTGAGCTAGGCTGGCACTCTAGCCTGGGCAACAGAGTGAGACTCTGTCTAAAAAAAAAAAAACGTATATCATAACTTATTGTTGACTATAGTAAATCTGTTGTGCTATCAAATATTGTTCATTCTGTCACATTATATTTTCATATTTGCTTAGATTTTATTTTATTTTATTTTATTTTTGAGACAGAGTCTCGCTTTGTTGCCCAGGCTAGAGTGAGTGCCGTGGCGTCAGCCTAGCTCACAGCAACCTCAAACTCCTGGGCTCAAGCAATCCTCCTGCCTCAGCCTCCCAAGTAGCTGGGACTACAGGCATGCGCCACCATGCCCGGCTAATTTTTTGTATATATATTAGTTGGCCAATTAATTTCTTTCTATTTATAGTAGAGACGGGGTCTCGCTCTTGCTCAGGCTGGTTTCGAACTCCTGACCTCGAGAATCCGCCCACCTCGGCCTCCCAGAGTGCTAGGATTACAGGCGTGAGCCACCGCGCCCAGCCTGCTTAGATTTTAATTATCAACTTTAAAATCATTTCCTAGTCTAAGTAAAATCTGGTTGAAATAACTTTGCTCTAGAGGGATATAAATGTCTATCCTGTTCTGTTCTAACTTTGACATAAAAGCAATTTAAATGAAATTATCTTAGACATTCCACATGCAAAGTTAAAACCACTAGCTTAAATATTTCAGATTTTCCTTTAAAATGACTGTCACCTGTTAAGAAGTATGTTAAAATATCATTCATGTTGTACTTTGCACTGTGATAAAAACTGTTCTATCAAGAACACCAATGTAAAGAGAATGTAGTAAACAGAGCTAACCAGAGTTTCTGACTTTATCTAAAGAAAGGATAGCTCCACCAGCTAAGAATCTGACTTTCAGTGAAAAGCTACTCTGACTTAACATAATGATTTTCCCCCTACGGAATTTACTGGGCATTCACTAGCCCACATTCAATTGTTAAATACAAGTAGCTCTATTTCAATCTCCCTCATATAGCAATGGATTTTCTTTCTCATAGTATCCCTAAGATTCTCTTAGTCCAGGTCTTATTTCTCACTTACACAGAACACTTACCCGAGTAAGAATGAGACTTTTGGAAACTTTGGAAGAATGAAGTAATCCCAATGTGGCCTTTAATTTCTCAAACAGATCCCTCATTTCACCACGGCGCCGCCGCTCATTGGCAGTGTGTGTCCGGCGATAATAAGCAAAGGCTTCTGCTTCCTTCTGTAGTTTGTCACTCCAGTAATCAGACTTCAGTTTGAGAGGAACTGGTGGAGCCTGTCCAGGAAGATTGCCTCCTAAGCATCTTTCATATGTACCTGCCCTCTTCCTCTAACCCAAATGGCACTGCTCTATTTCAGGCATCCATCGTCTTTTGTCTCTTTGACTGTTAAAACAGCCTCCCAATTGGTCATCTTACTCCAAATCTAATTTCCACAATGCCAAAAGTATAAATTCTACTGCTATGTGATCATATCAGTTACCAGGTCAAATTTCAGTAGTGCTCAAATAAGAAAGAATTTGTGTGGGTTGGTAACAGAACCAGAAAAGCTTATCTATATAAAGTTTTATTATTATTACTACTAAAACTTGTTTTCATGACACAAATATATATTTTAAAAATACTGTAAGATCCTTCACAATCCATGGTAAAAGATCTCTTTTAAATCATCTTTTTCTCCAACCATTCCTAACTGCTAGAAATTTCCAAAACATACTATGCCATTCCCATAGCTCCCCACCACTACACAGGCTTTTGCCTGTACCTGGATTACTTATCCTTCCCTCCCACGCAGTCCTCCATAACATTTAAAACTTCACACTCAGAACTCAAACTCTGTACTTTTTCAGGAAAGTCTTTCTTGACTTTCAGAATGCCTCAGGCCTCATTTTCCTATCTTCTTTATTCTACTTCAATTTTTTTTTTTTTGGAGACAGAGTCTCATTTTGTTGCCCAGGCTAGAGTGAGTGCCATGGCGTCAGCCTAGCTCACAGCAACCCCAAACTCCTGGACTCAAGTGATCCTCCTGCCTCAGCCTTCAGAATAGCTGGGACTACAGGCAGGCGCCACCACACCCAGCTAATTTTTTCTCTATATATTATTTGGCCAATTAATTTCTTTCTATTTATAGTAGAGATGGGGTCTCACTCTTTCTCAGCCTGGTTTTGAACTCCTGACCTCAAGCAATCCACCCACCTCGGCCTCCCAGAGTGCTAGGATTACAGGCGTGAGCCACCACACCCGGCATACTTCAATTTTTAAAGTATTTTTCCTACAAAAAAGTTATAGATCATATAGAGTTTTAAATATATGATCAGCTTATAATGAAAAGCAACTGTGCCCTGCTCCTATACCCGGAATCTCAGAAACAACTACTTTTTTATTCTTTTAGCAGCTTCTCTGGTTCTTTAATCTGTATCCTAAATCAAAAATACTAACATAAGCTTTATTTTTTTCCATTTTTAATGCTACCTCTATTAACTTCCTACTATGCAGAAGAGGATTTACCTCATACTACTCTCTTATCTTGCCACCTCATCATCCCAAAATAACTGTATCACTAACTTTAGTTGTTTTACTGATCCCTTAGCAACTTGAATATAATTCTATCTTAATTACTCATTTCATCAACAATCTATCTTGCTTTTCCACATTGTAAAATCAGGTTTATTAACACCCACATCCTTCCCGTTATTTCTTCTTCCGTCTTTTACCTCCCAATTTGTTATTTGTATTCACATATTTTTCAAGGCTGCAAATGAATCTTCCATATTTTATTCACAGATTACCATAAAAGTTTTTAAAAATCATTTACAGTAGCCATACTATTATAACATTGTAAATAATTCTCATACAAGATGAACAAATATATTAACATTTCCTGTCTTGTAGTTTCATTTTGTTTTTTCCCTCTGACGTTACTGTCGTTTTTTATGACAGTTTGCCTTTATCATAACCCTGTAGCACCCAAAACCTCTTATTCACTGTCTTTCTGAAGATAAACCCATTATGCATTAATATAGGATCAGAGAATAAAAGATGCAAAATAGATAGAAAATCAGTATCAAGTTTTAATATAGCAAAGTGCTGTAAGTATTTGCATATTTGGGGTACAAAACAATAGATTGTGTAAATAAGCTATTATAAAAATCTTTATATCTGAAAAAATATTTTAGAATGAAAATAAAACAGTGATATATGCAAAATGATTAAAACTATGCAGATTTGTATCATATGATCCTCCAAATCAGATCAAAGCCAAACAAATCATGCTATGGTTTTTTTTAAAGGACCCAAATGCCATCCTTATGCTACTATGATATACATTGAATACAGTAAGAAAATTAAAAGGAGGTTTATAATTTCATGGCTTCTTGAATTGCTAAACATCATTACAGAAAATAAGTTTTTAGGTCACTGGAAATCATGAACCTAGGCAAGAAAAATGATATCTTGTTTTGTATCAAATCATCACAAAACTAGTTTTCAAATAAGCATATTGATTTTTGTATACTCCATATCAATTTTATTTTTTTCTATTACTTTATTTTTTTAATTTTTAAATTTTTTATAAGAAAAAAATTATTTATTTATTATCTTTTACCCAAAGGATTGACCTTTGATCCATATCAATTTTAAATTCTCTAAATTAGTCCATCTTCTGGGAAGAATAAAAGAATTAAGGGAAAAAAACACTAATAGTGTAATTTCATTAAGGGGAAACAACTGATTATATTTACTCACTGGTAAAAATAACCCTGGGGGGGAAATCATGTCTAATATAGCTTATGTTGTTCCAACCCTAAGATAAATGTTATCAATTTTACTAAACAAACAATTATCATTAAATGTATTCTAAATACCTTTCGACTCCTTTCAGCAGCTTTTTCATCTGTAGAGCTATGGGTACGGCACCTAAATAAAGATAGCATTTTTCAATATCTTACTGAAATTCAGTAATCTAAGACCTATTTCACAGCTATATTGAACCAAACCATCCCAAATTGTCTAAATTGTAATCAGTTTCTTTTCTCCAAGGTGTCATATATATTAATAGCTACATGATTTAACATTATTTTCTCTAAGACAAGTGTCCAATAGTCAGTAAAACTGCAAATTACTTTTGTCAATCATGAAATATTTCAGACATACAAAACTGCATAAACAAATATACAGCTGTCCCTCAGTATCTGTGAGAGTTTGGTTCTAGGACCTCTCACATACCCAAATCCTCTAATGCTCAAATCCCTGATATAAAATGATGTAGTATTTGCATATAACCATGTACACCTTCCCATATACTTTATTTTTATTTTTTATTTTTTTGAGATAGAGTCTTATTCTGTTGCCTGGGCTAGAGTAGTGTGGCATCAACCTAGCTCACAGCAACCTCAAACTCCTGGGCTCAAGCAATCCTCCTGCCTCAGCCTCCCAAGTAGCTGGGACTACAGGCAGGCGCCACCATGCCCAGCTAATTTTTTCTATTTTCGGTAGAGACAGGGTCTTGCTACTGCTCAGGCTGGTTTCAAACTCCTGACCTCCAGCAATCCACCCGCCTCGGTCTCCCAGAGTACTAGGATTACAGGCGTGAGCCACCGCACCAGGCCTCCCACATACTTTAAATCAGGGGTCCTCAAACTTTTTAAACAAGGGGCCAGTTCACTGTCCCTCAGACCGTTGTAGAGTGCGCACTGTGGGCCCAGGATGAGTCAGCTGCTAAGCAGGACAGGCAGTGGCAGCAAAAACACCCGGAGGGTGGGATAAATGTGCTAGGCGACCCGTATGTGGCCCTCGGGCCATAGTCTGAGGACGCCTGCTTTAAATCATCGCTAGATTGCTTATAACACCTAATACAATGTCGATGCTATGTCAAAAGCTGTTATACTGCATTGTTTAGTGAATAACTACAAAGAAAAAAGCCAATGCACATTCAATACAGATGCAGTATTTTTCTTTTGAATATTTTCAAACTATGATTGGTTGTACCCACAGATGTGGAACCCACATATAGGGAGGACAGACTGTATAATGAACACCCAGATATATTACTATCCAGCTTGAAATATAACCCATCTCAAAATTAGTAGAGATTCTGGCTGGAATCTCAGACTTGTGGGGGGAGGGAGGGAATGGGCATTTATTGAAGCCTTAAAATCTGTACCCCCATAATATGCCAAAATAAAAAAAAATTAGTAGAGATTCTATGTAGAGTCTACTCAATCACACTCCCTTTCTTCCTTCTTATGGGTAAACACTCCCAGAATGAGGTTACCATGTACACCTTTACAGTTTTACTAGGAATGTATTATCTCCAAACAAAAAATATTATGTACCATTTTAAATATTGCATATTACACTGTATCTTTCTGCAACTGATTTATTTTGTGCAATGTTACACCTGAGATTATGTTGATACACATAGTTCTAGTTCAATCATTTACCTGGTATATACAATGCCACAGTGAATTTTCTAAAATTTATTTTTTCACTTTTTTTTTCAAGACAAGAGTCTCACTGTTGTCTGGACTAGAGTGTGCATGGCATCAGCCTAGCTCACAGCAACCTCAAACTCCTGGGCTCAGGCGATCTTCCTGCCCCAGACTCTCGAGTAGCTGGGATTACAGGCATGTGCCACCATGCTCGGCTAATTTTTTCTGTATATTTTTAGTTGGCCAATTAATTTCTTTCTATTTTTAGTAGAGACAGGGTCTCCCTCTTGCTCAGGCTGGTCTCAAACTCTTGAGCTCAAACGATCCGCCCGCCTCAGCCTCCCAGAGTGCTAGGATTACAGGCGTGAGAGCCACTGCGCCCGGCCTAAAATTAATTTTTTCAGAATGTTAGTACTTATTTAGGTTGTTTCCTAATCTTTACACCATCAGGAGGAGAATTACTGAGTACAAGAAAGCTATGCACATCTTCAATTGACTTTAGTAGATGTCAAACTAGTAACAACAATATATATTCCACTTACAGTTATTTGAGTTCCCACTGCTCTATACCTAGGTAACAGTACTATCAGAAATTTCAATTTTTGCCAATTTTATAGGTATGAATTGGTAATCACTGTGGTTTAATTTGCATTTCCCTAATTACCTGTGAAGTTCAACAAATTTACATGTGTTTACTGGTCTTCTAGGTTTCCTCTTCTGTAAACTGCCTGTGAATATCCATTACTTTTCTATTGGATCATCTTTCTTATTGATTTATAAGAATATTTTTATTTCCTTGATATACTAATAATCCTTTGTCACTTATCCATATTACAAATACTTTCCTTATAGTCTGAGTTTGCCTTTTCACTGTTTTCATGATATCCTGTTAGAATTTTGTCATGACAGGAAGCCTGTTCACTGTTCTGTGGCAAGCATATCTTGCTTTTACTCTGTAAACCTTTATCTTGCTCTTGCTCTGTACACCTATCTTGTCCTTCTTCAGTAAACTTCACTTCATGCTTGCAAAAAAAAAAATTAAAAAATTTTAATTCATATTTTAAATTTAAAGTTCTAAAAATTTAATTAAATCTTTCATTTTTTTTTCCTTTTTGAGACAGTCTTGCTGTCACCTAGGCCAGAGTAGTAGCATCATCAAAGCTCACTGTAACCTCAAACTCCTGGGCTTAAGCAATCCTCCTGACTCGGTCTCCTCAGTAGCTGCAACTACAGATGCACAACATCACGCCTGGTTAAATTTTCTATTTCGCTATTTCGTGTATGTGTTTTCTATTTCGCTATTTCGTGTGTGTGTGTGTGTGTGTGTGTGTGTGTGTGTGTGTGTGTGTGTGTGTGTGTGTGTGTGTGTGTGTGTGTGTGTGTAGATTGGGTCTTGCTCTTGCTCAGGTTGGTCTCAAACTCCTGATCTCAAGCAATCCTCCTGCCTTGGCCTCCAGAGTGCTAGGTAGGTGTGAGCCACTGCAACAGGGCCTAAATCTTTTAATTTTTAATCTTTAATTTTAATCTGTTCCTTTATAGCTTGGGCTCTTTGTGTGTGCTGGTTATTCTTGGCCCTTTATTATTCCAATCCATTAACATGGTATCTCTCTCCATTTATTGAATTCTTTCTCAATGTCTTTCTATACAATTTTACAAAAGTCTTGCACAGCTTTTGTTAGATATATTCCCTGACAGCTTTTTTTCCTATTATTGTAAATGATATTTTCTAGATTACATTTTTTGTTTGTTGGTATTATTTAGAAATTTGATTTTGGTATACAGAACTTGTCCAACAATACTGCTGAACTTTTTTTTAGTTTTTAAAGGATCTGAATTCTTTCAAGCTTAACCGGTAGGTAAGTAAAGTAGCCTACAAATAGTTCTGGAGAGAGAAAAACTACTAGTCCTATTTTCTACTCTTTAGACTTTCTTAGCATCCATAGGGATAAAGGGATCTCAACTCACTGCTACTTTCATATGGTAAAGAGATAAGAGGAAAAGTACAATGTCTGGCAAATATATTTTTCTTCCCTTTTCTCTCTCACACCCAAATCTAGAATTAATACAAGGCTTACTAAAACAGAAAATGAAATAAATTTTCCTGAGCAAGTTGTCATGCCCTCCATATTTCATCCCATCAGAGGAACAGGTAGAAAAATTTTCCTGACTATATCTTACCTGTTCAACTAGTGAAGTAATCAAACTTAGAATTTCATTCTTTATTCTTCTGAAAAGATAAACTAACCTCTGTTGAGTAAAATCTACTTACATCCGTGAGTATGCTAGCTGTGTACATTATCTCATTTAACACTTCAAATGGGGGCACTTTCCTCATTTCATAGGTAAGGAATACGAGATTCAGAGATATTAAAGACTTGCCCAAGGTTAAGTATTTACAAACTAACAAAACTATTATCTTAACACCAGTGTATCAGGCTCCAAAAGCCTGTTATTGACATTTACACACTGCCTCCTAGCAAGGACCAAGAAAGGTTAATTATCTCCAAATTCTTGCTCCTCTCATCTATACTAATTAGAAAAAAAATAGAGGAATAAAGAACCAGGTCAGTTAACCAGAGCTTCTAAAGAGAACATTTAGTTTTGTTTCTGGTTACAAAGCAACAGTAACAATCCAAAGAGATATAAGACTTACGGCTGTTTAAATGACTGTGTGTGGGCAGCTGTGGTCTTCATGTGGGCAACATTAATTTCCTCTGAGAGCTCTTCTATAGTCTCAATGTCCACCTGTTCCTCATCATCCTCAATGTATTCTACACAGTTATTCTGAAATATATCATTCCAACAGTAAATAATGTATTGGGAGGCAAGCACACCTAAAATTTTCAAATGCATGCTTCCCTTATAAAACCTACTAGTGCCAAATATACCATGAGTACTGATAATTCTAAACTTATTAATCATAATAAGGAATTAAGTCAGAAAGATAACACATGACTAGAATTAACAACTAAGAAGTATACTGTAAGTCAAAAATATATATTAAACTGAACAGAGTCTCCAAAGGGCTGCAGTGAAGCTTTAGTGTTATTGTTAGTGGACAAAATTCAGGTACAGGTATATTAATATGCTTCATAAATCTTAAGGTCAAATAACAGTAAAATAAAATTTGGTGAGAAAAAAGGTAGAAAGGAGAAAAACCCAGGTTCTTTTTTAAGGGGCCTTCATGACTAACACTGTATCAGCTACCCACAAATCAATACACCTTCACATACATAAGGCAGGTATGAAAATAGAATACAACTTAGCCTTCCAAGTCTCTCAACCCCACAGAATGAGAGCTTTTGAGGAATTTCAGGTTTTAAAAGAAGCCTGAGATTGTTATACTTCCTTATTATACCAAAAAAGGAGTCAATCAAGTAAGCATATATTGAGCCCCTGTCACAGAAACTCACTGAATTTGTTATGTAGATAACATATTATATGGATATATAAAATACAATTATATAGATATATAAAATAAGCAAATATATTTAAGTCCACCTTTAAAAGTAGTGTTTACTATGCCAGAAACTAAACATGGGATATTTTTTCTGTTAACTATAATCATACTATACCAGAGAGGCACAACTCAAATTAAAGTATCTCAATCACCTTATTAATTCTATGCTTAAACTTGTTGGAAAAATTACCCCTAAATTATAGGCTCCATAAAGCTGACAGATGCTAAATGTAAGCCATCATTTATGTTCCCCACCCCAATTTAAGTACAATTTAAACAATGTGTATTAAATTTAAAAATGTAAACAATATATATTATTTTGTTTTTTTGGTTTGTTTTTTTTTTGAGACAGAGTCTCGCTTTGTTGCCCAGGCTAGAGTGAGTGCCGTGGCATCAGCCTAGCTCACAGCAACCTCAAACTCCTGGGCTCAAGCAATCCTGCTGCCTCAGCCTCCCGAGCAGCTGGGACTGCTGCTGGGACAGGCATGCACCACCATGCCCGGCTAATTTTTTCTATATATATTAGTTGGCTAATTAATTTCTTTCCATTTATAGTAGAGATGGGGTCTCGCTCTTGCTCAGACTGGTTTCGAACTCCTGACCTCAAGCAATCCGCCCGCCTCAGCCTCTCAGAGTGCTAGGATTACAGGCATGAGCCACTGTACCCGGCCAACAATATGTATTAAAATTAACTTTATGAAGCAAAATCGACAAAATTCCAACAGAATCTAAAGAGGTAGTAATGTAGGTAGATACTTTACAAGATTTAAACTGAACAATGCCCGCCATCTGTATGGTTTTAACTGCAGGCTTTGTAAATAATATCCAATAACCTCCAAAATGGAATATTTAAAGTGGCTACTCATGACTTTCTTCACACTATTGCAATATAATGTTGATTATAAGTATAAATATAGGTGTGGGAAATGGACATAAATACAATGTAGAATTTAGATTTTAGAGATCACTTAATGTAACACCCTTACTTTAAAAAACAGTGTAACTTGTTTGTCTCATTCTCTGTTAGTAGATTCAAGCAATGCCTCCTTGGATGATTAAGACACTTTTAGCTTCTATTAAGTCAGTTCCACTGACAGCAAAAGTTTTCACTGGTTTTAAAGCTGGACTGTTTTTTGGTCTGTTTACCTGGCCTGACTTACGAGACTCTGCAAAAAGCACAAGATCTACAATATAACTCTAAACTCAATGGATTTAGATTCTTCAGATACCTAGAGATATCCATCCTTGAAAAGGATTAAGCTATAGGTAGAATATAAGGCAAATGCATACAGAATTATCCAGTTTTAGAGCTAGATCCTCATTTACAAATGAGACAACTGAGGTACAGAAACAACCAATAGCGGAACATTAAAATATATAAACATTTTAGAGTTTTAAAATACTAATCTTTATGTTATATTTTATCTGCTTAGGGCAGTTAGGCATTAACAGAAAAGGACCAGATAACAAAGAGGCTGAATGATCTCAAGTGAGATTCTAAAACAACCAGCTGCATAACAATCAGTGGAGAGGGCTGTCATCTGCTGTAGAAGAGAAGGACAGAGTTTAGGCTCCAGGGCACCCCACAGGCATCTGGCTCTGGTCTCCTTATGTTTTACATCAGACTATATGTCAGGGGTCAGCAAACCACAGAGCATCACCTGTTTTTATAAACGAAATTTTACTGGAATACAGCCACACTCATTCACTTATGGCTGCTTTCATGCTATAACAGCAGTTGATTAGTTGCAACAGAAAACTAGCCTGCAAAATCTAAAATACTTACTAACTGGCCCTTTACAGAAAATGTTTGTCCAACTCCTGCCCTATATCATACCCAACTTCTAGTTACTTAGTTCAGTAAATACAATCATAAGTAGGAAGCCTATAAAAATATTTCAGGAAAATAAAAAACTATATAGGTCGTATTACAAAGGATGATGACCCAAAGTCTAGAGCGTAAGTCGTAGAGACTAAACAACTAATTTTGGGAGATAATTAAAAAGCAACTTTAGGCAGGATTATATTAAAATATTAAATGGATGGTATTTTAAAATTTTTTTAAAAAAGAAAAACAACTCTTTAAATGCAGGTGGGTAACTTCTCCTCCAGTTCTACGGCTACCCATTTCCTGTTTCTTATTACATCCACCAGAAAAGCTATAATATAATCACCTCACATAGAAAATGCAAGTAATGATTTCAGGATCTAAAAAAAAAAAAAAAAAAAACCCAACTTGGTAGGGATTTAAGCACCTACCCCCCAAAGATTTAAGGTGGCCTTCCCATAATACCAGATAAGTCTCAATGAATAATACAAGCTCAATAAATGTTGCCTGACTGATACAACCTAAAAATTACAAAGTCAGTTAATCATCATCTAAACCTCGGAATCCAACTGAATGTATTAGGTCTTATTGATCTTCTGGAAAAGCTACCGTCTCTAATAAATCATTTAAAGCCTTCAGGTTTCAGTCACAATAAAAATGGGCTCACCACCTTTTCTACATCATCAACCTCCTCACTCTGGTAGTCAGTAATAACATCCACAATTTCATCAATAGAATCATCGGTTTTCTCATTCTCATCTTCCTCATCATCCTCTTCCAAATCCAAAACAGTGAAGTCAGCACTGCTTCTCCCACCCTTCTTCTCTTGCTTTAGTTTTATCTGTTCTCCTGGTAATAGTAAATGACCCTGAAAATGTCCATTCCCTCTGCTGCCTTTTGTAGCTCTTCTAGGAACAATGGAAAAGGCTGGAGGATTAGAAATCCTACTCCAAGAATCACATTCCATTTTTAGAACTCTGGCATTCTCAATAATTCCACTTTTTCCCAGTAAGTCAGAGATGCCTTGTTCTTGAAACACATCTGAATTTTCTTGACATGTCTTTGTTTCTTTAATTAACTGCTCATCTGCCTCTTTCTTACATTCCTGTGAAGTTCTAACAGATTTCCGCGTCAAGGGGCCCTTCAGATGTTTTCTCCATCTCTCCCTAATGCTGTGCTTCTCCAGAGCGAGATGGGGTCTCGCTCTTGCTCAGACTGGTTTCGAACTCCTGACCTTGAGTGATCCACCCGCCTCAGCCTCCCAGAGTGCTAGGATTACAGGCGTGAGCCACTGCGCCTGGCCTGTAAGTAACTTCTAATTTGAATTATAAAGTTGGTAAAATCTTGTACCCCTATAATGCGCTACTTATGACTGAAAACAATTTATTTTAAACCCTAGTATCAGCCAGACATTGTGGAGCTTTACATTTAGATTAGTAAAAAAGAAAGCATCAATTGTCAATGTGCATTTAAAGAGATAATGCTTGAAAAACATGGGTAGGCCTTTAAATCTAAACTCTTGTTAAAGTTAAATGGATCATTTATAAGATTCTCTTCTTCACCTTAAAAATTAAGGCTGGTAACCTTTATTAGACTTCTGACTCAGTTTCATAGCTTATATTCTGGAAAGAGAAAGTCAAGGACCAAAAATCCTTGGTATAAAAGGCTTCTTGGCTTTTGAAATTAAAATTCACTAACAAATAAGCAAAGCTTAAAGATTAGTGGAAATTATTTTTCAAAAGGAAAAAAATACATACCCCCCCCCAAAATGGAATGAAATTAAGAGACATCAAAGAAACAGGGAAATAAAGCCTGGTTAGGAAGAGGCAAAAGATAGTTTTAAAACAAATACAAAAAGCAGAAATTTAATGCCGAAGATGTGAATTCAAAGAGATTTTTCAAACCATTAATAGTACCTAAAGACGCACGACGCACTTTAAGGATTGGACGACAGATTTAGAAATACTAAGGACAAAGAGGCCGGGCCCGGTGGCTCACGCCTGTAATCCTAGCACTCTGGGAGGCCGAAGAGGACGGATTGCTTGAGGTCAGGAGTTCAAAACCAGCCTGGGCAAGAGTGATATCCCATCTCTACTATAAATAGAAAGAAATTAATTGATCAACTAATATATATAGAAAAAATTAGCCGGGCATGGTGGCGCATGCCTGTAGTCCCAGCCACTTGGGAGGCTGAGGCAGTAGGATTGCTTGAGCCCAGGAGTTTGAGGTTGCTGTGAGCTAGGCTGATGCCACAGCACTCACTCTAGGCTGGACAACAAAGCAAGACTCTGTCTCCCAAAAAATAAATAAATAAATAAATACTAAGGACAAGGGAAAAAAAATAAGATGGGTAATCTATTATAGATAGATTTTGTTTGGATCATAGAAATAAAAAGGTAGAAAGCATAAATGAAAGCATAAGCATAAATGAAACTGTCTAACATCACCATTCAAATTAGTAAACATATTTAACATTGTTGTTGTTGTTTTTTAGAC